TTGGTGGAGGGCAGCTTTGCTCCTCATGGGCAGGGCAAACCTTATCCAGAGACAGGGCTCCTCTCAGTGGTGGGCTGCTGCCGATTCGGGCCGGTTCGGGTGAACCAGTAGTTCTGACGATCAGCTGGCCCCGGCCACCCACCCCCGCCCTATCCTGTCCTATATTTCCTTTCTCAGCTGATTCACGCGGCACAGCTGATTTCCACGCCTCTGCTGTTCTACTTACCGGGGCTGTCTTAGAAGGTCAGCAGCTGAGCTTCAGATTGCTTTATTTTGAACGCTGCGCTCAAGCGAAGCGTGCACTCACAGAACCGATTGTTAAACTGATTGCAGCCCACCACTGGCTCCTCTGCCAGGTGGGCAGAGCGGCGGGTCAGCGTGGGTGTGCCTGTTGTTTCTTGGAAGTATTCCCAAAGCCAGGCAGAAAGTGGGAAAAAATCAAGCGTCCGTTGTAGTGGCAGTTGTGGGGAAGTGGTTGGAGCATCTTTATCTTTTCCAATTCGGCTGCTGAGGGGTGTTTTGCCCCCCAAGAAGTGCTGTGACTACAGCTCCATTGCCGCTTGGGGTGCTGCAGAAGACAGCCTCCCTGCCCCGTGGCTGCCAAGCTTGATGCCCGCTGCTTTGAGAAACAGAAAGCCCCCAGCAAAGCACGTTTGCCTATGTCCTTGTTTCTCTCCCCCTGGGCCTTCCCCAGCTGCTCCCTGGGGGCTGCAGGCCACTTGCAAGCCTTCCAGACCACTCCCCAATTCAAATAGGACCCCAGATTTTGTGATTCTTTCCCCCTTTGCAGGGTTACGGCGTCCTTCACCACGGCTGACCTGGTCAGGGCTTGTTTTTCTTTCATGGTGCCACCGCTGCTTGGTGTGGCAGCTGAGAGAGTGCCCAGTTGTGCTGACAGCAATCCGTTGGGTCTGATTCAGAACCGCCAGATCCAGATTTGGACCCAACATGCTCCTGGCGATGGATTCCTTGTGGCAGCCCACTTGGGCTGTATTCTCAGCTGTTTTGGCTGGGACAGTGGAGGGATACAAATGGTCAGGGCTGCCAGGGTTTACTGCACAGTCTGTCTTTTAAAGCCCACCGCGACGGAGGGGCCCATGCGTTTAGGACCCTTCATCCTCCCTCTCCTCTGCTTTCTCTGAGCTGCACCAGCTCTGGTCAAAAAGGGACTTTGCTGCTGCCCATTTTAGGCCTGTGAGAAGCCAGCTCTGCCCAGGGTCGCTGTCTCCTGTAGCTGAAAGAAGAGACAGGATCTGCTTTCAGAGGAGGGAGTCCTTCTGCAGGCCTCCATGGACACAGTCATGCTGCCCTTCCTCCTTCCCGGCCCAGAGCCCTGGGACAGAGAAGGAGCCTCAGTCAAAAGCAAGGGCAGTAGACCACTGGAACCCCTCATCCACATCATGGCGGTGGCTGCGGTTTCTTTGATTTGAGATCAACCGGAGGTTTATTCATTACTACCCATGTTTCCCCAAAAGTAAGACTGGATCTTATATTAATTTTTGCTCCAAAAGACGCATTAGGGCTTATTTTTGGGTTATGTCTGTTTTTGGGAAATGTAGTACCAAATGCTGACAATCTTAACTGGGACTTATTTTGGGGGTAGGGCTTAAATTACAAGCATCCTGACAAATCATGCTAGGGCTTATTTTCCGGCTGTGTCTTATTTTGGGGGAAATAGGGTATTTGCAGCCTCTCCTTGGATCGTATGTATTTAAAATAGAGTCAAAGTGGAATTCATTGGGACTGTCAGCAAGCTGCAATCCTTTTTGATCTTGCAATCACTCTTGTGATCTGGTGAGATCCGGCCATGAATGGTGTGAATGAGTTTTTAATGTTTTTAATTTTTCAATGTCTTTTTATAATGATTTTTTAAATGTATTGTGAGCCGCCCCGAGTCTTTGGAGAGGGGCGGCATACAAATTTAATTAATTAAATTAAATTAAATTGATTTCTGGTGTGGAACAGAAGCATAGATGGGTGATCTGAATGAACAGAGAACTGCTGGTCAGATTAATCCTGGAGTTTCTTCCCTGTCTGGAGGCCAAATGAGCCAGTTTGTATAAGAGATTTGGTTGAGCAAGCGAGTCTTACCCTTGTAGACCTCTGTTTACTTATGATCTCTGTCAGAAACCATGTACCAGCTTGGAGCAATCTTCCTTCAACCTGCATTGTTGGTTTTAAATCAAATCCCTTGAAAAAAAAGCCAACATTGCCCTCTTTGTCCTCTTCTTAAGCTGCCAGTCATCTAGTCAACTTCACAAGCCAGTTTATGGAATAAAGGGATCTAGTCAGTTTCACAATGCCTTGGCTTAATTTTCCTTGCTTGTCTCAGCAGCTTGAGTCAGTCTGTCTGGGTTATGGCTCCAGCACAACCTTGGCCCAACACTTCTCTTCCGCCTGTTCTTGTCTCACCAAGATGTTTTAAGTGGGCTGCCTGGGCTCTTTGAATGGAGAAGCCAGCTGTCAGTGGCCTTCCCGATCCAGATTCAGGAAACCAGCCCCTTCCTTTTCCTTCTCTGGGGAGGTCAGCAAGGCTATGACCCTGGCTCACCCCTTCCTTCACTTAGGCCAGGGATCTCCACACACTTTTGGGGCGAGCAGTTAGTTTTGCTGCCCTGGGTGCAATTGCGAACAGGATTTAATTCTCAGTGGTGCGACCGCTTTGCTCTTTGGAGCAGGCTGCCTTATTGGCGCCTATCAGTTTTCCCTGAAGCCAAAGATCAGGAGCCATTTGCCAGCTCTCGAGCACTCGGAGCAACACAAACATTCAAGCAACATGGGCCCAAGACAAGCTCTCTTTAGAATCTCCGGGACCTCAATTAATCACCTTGTCAGGAGAGAAGAGCTGGCCAAGATCACAGGCGGTTTTCCTGCATTGCTAACCCAGGAGCGCCTAGATGGCTTTGGGATAAATGGCTACTTGCTGAACCCCGATAGGCGCTGGGTGGGGAGGAGGCGGCACTGGGCATACCCCTCTCCTGCCCCTGCCGCCTTTGTGCCGAGGGGTGCTTAATCTTCAGCGGCTCAATGGGGAGAGTGCGTTGCCCGAGACCTTCCTTTGGCTTTCTGAAGAGGCAGAAGTGGGGTGGCAGGAGGGCTCCTGCCTGCGATTCCCTGGCTTGCATCCAGCAGTTCCCTGGCAAGCCAGCCGGCTTCAGAAAGGGACCCTGCTACTAATTCAGCTCTCATAGGCAGAAGATGTGGGCGTGCTTGCAATGGGGAGGGGATGCATGTGCGGGCTGGGATCATGTCCATTGCCAGGAGCCAAGCTAACCTTGGCTGGCACAAACCTCTGGCAAAGCAACATTGACTGGAAACGGTACTTTGCCTGTGGATTGAGAGCCCCGCTGAGATGAAGGTCCAGGCTCAGGCTCCCGAGCGGGAGGGGCAGCTTGCAAGGGAGGCGTGTAAAGGCTGAGCAAAGAGGTTGACCTTTGGATGAGTGATGTGCGCCAGGCATGTGCCTGCTTCGTCTGCCCTCTGGCGTGCTCACGTGGGCCCCTGCCGCTCTCCTTCCCAAACTCTGTGGGGCAAAGTGCTTGGTTTGCTGATCAGAAAGCCAGAGCGTGTCGCCTGGCATTGGCGCTCTGTCCTTGGCGGCAGGCCTTTCGCAGGAGTGCCCAGGCAGGTGTCCAGACTGGTATGTCAAACTGTCACCAGGGAGGGTAGCTGAAAAGGATCTTGCCCCACGGGGGCGTTTCGAAGAAAGAGGTGCATGTGAGGGGTGGTCTCGGAACAGCATGGCCCAACACCCATGGGGACAGATGTCCAGGGAGGAGGCGCCTTCAGCCTTCTGGAGTCTTTGTGGTTGGTCGGATGCTGAGGGCCATTAGCCTTGGACCAGGCAGACAGGCTGGCAGACCTTGGGTTTTGCCAAGGATCGTGCTAGCACATTGGCAGAGGTGTGGGATGAGCATCTAGGTCAGTGGCTTGTGAAATGGAGTGGACTCAGGTTGGCTGTCAAGCACCAGGTTTTAGACAGATGGGCAACTCCCCAGGGTCTGTGTGCCATGTTTTGCCCTTTCAGCAGCCTGGCCCAGGAAGAAGCCTTGAGGGGAAGCTGGGGGCATGCCGTTCTCAGCTCTGCAGTTTGCTATGGCCCTGGTGCCTCTGGGAGGAGGAGCGTGGCAGCCAGCCCCTTGGTGCTTCTTCTCCAGAGCTCGTGCGTTCACTCTGCTCCCCAGCCAATCCTCTGGTCTCTCTGAGTTCCTTCTGCCTTGTGGGATTTGCTCCATTGCCACTGGCACCATTTTTCCTCCTCCAGCCGAGGGATCTGCACAAGAGCTTTCTGGTTCCTTGTCCGAAGAGAGAAGGCGAATCAGGGCAGGGAGCTGGGTGTTTCCCAGGGGAGCCGGGAAAGGCTGGGGATTGAGTGCCTTTGGGCATCAGGAAGGCTGACCTGAAGCTGGACTCTTCTCTGGTCAGAGCTGGGCAGGCGCAAAGAAAGAAGAAAAAACAATGTGGGTGAGAGAAATTTGCATACCTTGTATAATCTCAGCCCCATTTCCTTGCACAGACTTGGGCTGCCCTGATGGGTGGTCTTACTTGTCTGTTTGCGGACAATGGATACCCTCCTCTGGATCACATGGCTGCATTTGTGACTTCAAACCCTGAATGCTTGGACTCTATTCAGAACTTGGGGAAAACCTCTGCAGAGCCTGGCAGGTGTTCTGGCTACCCAGCAATTCAGGCTCAGGGCAAGCAGAGTGTTTCCTTCTCTTGGGACCTCCTTGTGGAGAGCTCTTAAAGAGCAAGGAATTCTGGCACCTTGCTTTGGGAACTGAGAGCTAAGCCTAAGTACCCCTCTTTCCAGAACCTGGCCTGGGCCCCGGCCCTGATCTGCTCTCCTCTTGCCTCTGGGGCCCCTTCCTTCTGCTCTGCCTCTGCCTGCCCTTCCCAGCCTGGAGCTGCCACAGAGGAAGCCCAGGCTGAAGACGGCTCTTGCTCCCTTGGCCCTTGGGTGACCCGAGCCTAACCTCTTTCTCTTCCCCCTTTTGCAGCCCACGACCTCCCCTCAAGCAAGGCCTTGGCTCCAGCACAGACGGGCAGCCACTTGCAGTGTCTCTCTGTCCACTGCACGGATGACATGGGTGATGCCAAGGGCCGGACTGCGGTGCCAACGTGGAGATCCCTGCACTCGGACATCTCTAACAGATTTGGGACTTTTGTGGCTGCCCTGACTTGAAGAAGGAAGGAAACGAGGAGGAGGAGGAGGAGGAGGAGGAGGAGGAGAGGAAGAGGAAAAGTGGGTGGTTTTCTTCTGTTCTTTTTATGTTTAACCAGCCGCTGCTACTAGTTGGACAGTTTTTCTAGGTTGGTATCTGTTTAGCGGCATACAGACTGGCAAGGGTTAATTTAAAACAAACTCAACCTTTTTAAAAAAAGAAAGAAGGAAGGAAAGAAAAGAACAGCTGCCATTTCTACTGCCGGAGGAGGAGCACCGAACGAAGGAGTCAGCGATGTGGCCAAGCAGGGCCTTCTCCACCAGGGCTGGGAAGCAGGATGGGTTCAGGATTTTCCCCTCCCCCCTCCTTTTAAGATTGAGATGGTAATCTGGAGAGCAGCACCGAAGTCCAAACTTCGGGTTTGGGAAATTGCCTCCCCAAAAGCCATCCAAGGGATCCTCCCCACGAGCCTTTGCCTTTCCTGCCCACCACAGCCAAACCATCAATGCTCAGCCAAGGATCCAGGCAGCTCTTTGTCTCATTGGAGAGCGAGAAGGCGGGTGGGCGGGCGAGCGAGGAGGTGGGGGGATGCAAGATGATCTCTTGCCTCCCCTCCCCACCTCATTTTGCTGCTGCCTGATTTCTGCTTTCTGGCACTAAGCTTCACATTGCCTGTTTTCCTTGAATGTGTGTGTGTGTGTGTGTGCGTGCGTGTGTGTGTGTGTGTGTGCAGGGGTGCGCGCGCGCACTTAGTGGCAGCTCTGCTCTCAGGGTCTGCCGGGCTCCACTTGACAGCTGAGTGCCTTTCCTGGAGAGGGGAGGGAGGGGGCCGCGTGCTCCCAGCCAGCAGCCCAGCCGCCTTGCTCCAGCCGGGTCCTCCTGCCCTGCCAACAGCCTCTCATTGTCTTCCTCTGTTTCCTGCAGAGAGAGGCCCCTCTGCGGAGCGGGTCTGGAGAGCGGAGGGAGGTCCGAGGCAGCAGGATGAGGCTTCCTCCTGCTCCTGGGCGGTGGCTGCTCTTGCTGCAAGGGATTCAAAGCGGCAGAGCCGTGGGAGAAGGTCAACAGAGGTGCCAGCCTCACCAGAGGAAACGGAAGAGCCAGGCAACCACGATGCCCCCGGGGTGGTATTTCCAGCCTCAGGTTGGCATTTCTAGCAGCAGGGAGGCTGCTCCGAGTCAGCCCCCCTGGTGCCTCAGGTGGGTCCTGCCCAGTGCTCAGTCTTGGTTGTGTGTGTGGGGGGGGGAGCAAGGTGTCCTCTGCAGAGCAGGCCCAGTTCCCACCCACAGCAAGCTCCCCACCCCGGTTGCTTTTTCTTCTTTGAAATCTGGGAAACCTATGGGGTGCATTTCTTTTTTAATGTCTTGGATTTTTTGTGGTCTTTTTCCCCCTTTTTGCGGACAGTAAAATTTTGATCAGCCTCCTGTCCTGGCTGTCTGCACCTGTCCGGGGAGGTTTGTTCGTGGCTCAGAGGGAGCAGCACCATGATTCTGCTCCTCTACCAGCCTGTGGAGTTGCCCCACGGAGGGTTTTCTCCTGCCCTCCCCATCTGGGGACCCTCATCTTGCCAGAAATCTGCAAGAAGTGAGTCAGGAGGTGGGTCTTTATTCTGTTATTTTCTGAAAATAAGCTTTTGTAAGAAGAAAAACCAGCACAGTGGAATTGAAGCATTAAAATAAGAATAACAACCACAAAGAAAATCCTAAATAAAGAGCGACAATGTTAAAATGCAAACTTTAAAAACACAGCAAACTCAAACTTCATTCAGGCAAAGAGAAAAATATTTTCAAGTGATGTTTAAAAATTACTGGAAAATAGCTTTAACAGCAAAACAATAAAATAAAAATAGAGTTGTCAGAAATTATCAGAAAACTGCCTACTGAAAGCATTTAGTTGAGTAACATCCTGCACTGTGAAGAAAAGGAAAGGAAGAAAACCCTGAGGATTGCAGAACTGTTCAGGCAGAGGGCCAGTGATTCCTCCGAAAATCACTGGAAACCTGCTGAAGACACACACAAGAGCACACACAAATGGGTCTTTTTTTGAGGGCAGAGCTGGGTGCCCTCCTCTGCTAAACTGGGCCATAGCCACTATCAAAGCGGGTGTGGGGCACCTGAGGGCACAGGCACCCCTTTGCAAGAAACAACTTTGCGGCTAAACCAGGCCAAGCTTTTCTGAGGACTCTGCAAACAGCCCCTCGTCTTCTCTGGAAAGGCTTCGGGGGGGGGGCGAGGTGCTCCTCAGCCAAAGGTCCAGAACTGCTCTGCACAATTAACAGCAGCTTTTCTGATGGGGAAAAGCAATCTAAAATAAGCCAGCCATTTTAACCAAGATTTTAGGATAAAATTAAGTTTAGGGGGACTTGCCAATTTTTTTTCTTGGTTTCATTCCTGCCAGAATTCCCCAGCCATCGCAGCTTTAAAAACAAATCCTAAAAGAAAAGGATGTCCTTATTTTCATTGTACTGGAAAAGAGCCCCTTCCCCTCCCTTCCCCTCCCCTCCCAGCCAAATCCCTCCTGCTCAGTCCGAAGAAGAAGCAAAGTTATTGCACATGTAAAATATTAACATGGAGGGCAACTTGTAATCTCCCCTTCCCGCCTCTTCCCCTCGCCCATCCCCTTTTCTGGGAATTTAGTTTAAATTGGTTTCTCAAGGCTTGGTTGGAAGACTGTGACAAAAGCTCATAAAAAGTGAGTGTTATTTTCTTTCTTTTTTAAATATGTAAAGTGCAGTCTTCTCTATTCATGCATATTGTATATATCTGTATATGTTTTACTGAGCAACTAAATAACAATAAATATGATGTTAATGGTGATTCTAGTACCATTTCAGTTGGGTTCTTGTTCATTTTCCCTACAAAATGTGTTTTGTAGTGTTCTGAAAGAGTTTTTGCTGGGAGAGAATATGGGGGCCACTTAATGAGGGGTCCTCGTTTCTCCCAGGGATTGAGGGGGGTTAATCAAGCCAGCTCTTTGGGCATTGGCTCTGTCAAGCGATTTTGCCTTCTCTGCAGCATTCATCATTCTGGCTAGGGATTATGGTGCCCAGGTAGACCAGCTAGGAAGCCTTGTCCCAAGACCATTGGTGGCTGCTTGAGGGACTCCTGAGCACCTATCCGAGGGGTCCAGTAAGTTAGGGAGGCAAAGGGAGGGGTCACCCAGGAAGGTCACCTACCCCCCCCCTGCCGCCGTAGCTCCCCCTTGGCTCTGAGTGAAGCCTTGAAACCAGATTTCCCATCTGCTCCCTGGGCTCTTCACTCAATTCTTCCCTGGGTTTGCGCTGAAGCCCGAACTGTCTTGTCTCTCTCCCGGCCCCTGCCCCCCCCCAGCAATCACACCCACAAGCTGCTCTTAACAGAAGGGTCCTCTCTCCCCAGAGAGACCACACTAGGGTGAAAGAGGTTTTTTTGGGGGCGGGGAGGGGGCGGTGAATTGGCACAGCATCTTTGGAGGTTAAAGGCGGAGAGCAGCCCTTGGAGCCCTTTATCCTCTGCAGAATGCAGGGTATCTCCCCCCACCCCTCCCCTCCCTCTACTTGCCAGTTTTTCTCTGCCTCCTGGAAATCTTTGCTCTTTCTTTAACAGCCCTGGGAGGGCTTTCTAGAGGAGTTACACCCCCACCTCCAAATAGCCCAGTATTTTAATGCATTCCTTCCAAGGGGCCTCCCTGACTCTCCCCTCTGCAGCTTTCTTGAGGGGATATCCCCCCCCATCCTGCCTTGCCGTGTGTTCCCTGCTGGGTAACCCAAAACATACAGCAGGGGGTTTTTTTGCTGGCCCAAGAAGAGGAAGAGCTTTTGTGACTGATCAATGTGGGTGGGGGACGACAGGGAGGGGCCGGGACAAGAGATGTTCAACATTTTAGAGCAAGGCCTATGACCAGATGGGCATAATTTGGAGGCAAAGGCTGGTGTGCTGGCCTGGCAGAAGCAGAGTGGAAACCCTCCAAGGTCTCCGCTTGGTAGGAGACCAGCTGAGTGGGTTGCCCCTGCGGGGGTCCAGCTACCCTCACCCACACAAAGCCGGAGGGGTTTCTTGGAAGCTTCCCCATCCCCAGTCCCTCCTCTTTCTTTTGGTCTCCTTCGCAGGGCGGAGACTGACCTCAGGAAGGACTTTGGGCTGGGCTTTAGTTCACCTTTGGCTGAGGCACAGCTACCCACGGGCAAGCCCTTGGGTAAAATAGCCCAGGAAGGTAATGGGCAGGTGCTTTACGCAGCCTTCCCCTAGAAGGCCCCGTCCCCCTGCTGGGGGTCCCTCTGAGAGTGAGGCCACGAACTGGTGAAGCACAGCCAAGGTTTATGAGGCAGACATGCAAGAATGGTGTAAAGTTATGGAAAATGTATTTATTACAACACTTTTTATGGGCACGTTATCATTCTGTCAACCTTTATTAGAGAAAGTAATTAATGGGCTGTAAAAGGTGCCAGTGCATAGCCAGGGAAAGAGGGAGGCCCCCTGCAAACCGCCCCCTGTGAGATTTATGGCCCCCTGTCCCTTGGGCAGCAACAGGTGTGTTCTCTGCCAGAGGTGGGCCTCAAGAGCCCCCTAGACCTTGTCCTCATGCAAGGGGGATTGCGGGGGGGGGGGAGGAAAGCGCAACTGGAGCTTGGGTTGGTCAGCATATTTGAGGCCTTGCTCTTGCCTCCAGCCAGCCCTCGGCTCTCAAAGCTTTGAGAAAGGGAGAGCACAGGGCAAGCTGGAAGCTGAGGAGGTACGGAAGGGGGCCGACCTCTGTAAGGGATGGGGAAGGAGGCAGAGGGGCTCCAGGCCTGCTCCCTTCTTGGGCTCATGGAAAGGAATGACTGGATGCAGGGGAAATGCAAGGGCAGCTGAGGCCCTCCCCCCCCAATCCAGGCAGCCCTTCTGGCTTCGCAGTTTTTCAGAGGACACTCTTGAAACTCCCCCTGGCACTCTGGGGAGAAAGATGCCAGCGGTCTGCCCACCACATTTGGCCTGGAAGAATGGCGGTTGGCAGAATTGGGAAGGGAAACCCTCCACTGGGCACCAATTTGTCTTTGTGCTTGGCTGGGCTCTTCCCAGACCATTTGCCATATTTTGCTGCTGCAGATCTGGCACTCCTGTCCAGCTTTGGCGCAGTTTCTTCGTGGGTGAAAGGCTGCCAGCATTTTCTCCTGGGGCTGCTTTACCTGATGGTGTTGCCATCAATTCCCCCACCACTGAAACTTTCTCTCCTGGTGCCTTATTCCAGAGGATGGCCCCCTCCAGAAGAGAGAGTGCCGGGCATTCACCTGCCCCCTTTGGGGCTGCACCCCTGCCAGGCATCACTGTGCACACAGATGCCTTCTCTTTCACCCACACCAACTCCCAAGTCTTGCCAACTTAAAATACTTCTCCTTCCCAAGATATAAATATCCCGCAGCTGACGACCCTGTGAGAAGTAGCCCCTCTGCGGGCAGAGCTTGGCAGCTGTCCTCTGGCCAGCTCGTGTGGGTTGGAAAGACGCCAGAACTCTTCCCTCAAAGAGCAACGATGCCAAGGCCTGACCCGGGGGCAGGGCGGCTGGCTGCCCTGCTGGATCCTTGCAGACAGTTACCGGTAGGACCCACCAGCAGCCTGGCACCTGGGGCAGAGCCGGCCAGGCCATCCAGAGAAGAGGGCAGCGTTGCACTTGATGGCTATGGCAATTTGGAACCTCGCAACCCCCAGCCTTAATTCTGCCAAAGCTTCTTGCCTGAGTGCCCCCAGCCCTTCTGAGGTAAGGCTGCCAATCAAGCAGGGTGGGAAGTGCTGGGCCATCTGTTATGTGTGTGTGTGTGTGTGTGTGTGTGTGTGTGTGTATGCAAAATGCAGGCAAAGCAAGGCCCCTCCTGCCTGGTAGGCAGCACAGGGAAACACAAGCCGGATGAGGCCCACGGGGTCTCTACCTCTTGTGCCTCTGGCCTTGCTCCCCTTCAGACAAGGGTATGATCTGCAAAGCTTCCCCCCTTGAGCTTAGAGGATAAAGAGCGAAGTGCCCTCTGAGCAAGCTCAGAGGCAGCCTCCTCAGTACTTCCCATATTCTCCTGATTGCCAGCTGGTTTCCCACGTCACTCCCTTCCTTTGGTCCATTTCTTTCCCCAGGAAACTGGCACCACTGATGGCATCCTCCCCACTGTTCAGGGCCAAGGGCCCCACAGAGTTGCTCTGGGTCTGCATGGCAGCCGGAGAGAGTCAATCGACTTCTAGCCCTCCCTCCTCTCAGGGATGCAGTGGCTGAAACATAATCTGCTCCTTCAAGCCCCACCAAGGCAGAGTAGGAATTCTCATTTTTGTGGCGCTCCCCTCCATTAATTTTCCAGTTGTAGTACATTACTCATGGATAATTAAGAGTGAGGTATTAATACAACGTTTAATATTCAAGTGCAGCCAAGAGGAGAGGCCAATAAGTCATGAGATTTCATCCTACAAGGCATTTGGGCCCTGTGATGAGATTCTCCGCCCACCGCCCACCCCCCCACCCCGGGCTTCAGCTATTGGAGCCTGCCGAGCATCTCTTCCATTTAAGGGGGGACCCTGGGAACTTCATTTATTGATAGAATACAAATAGGTCATTAAATCAGGGGAAGGGAATGTGAATTGCCAACCATAGAGGTGGCCAGCACCATTCGTAATTGGACTTATCTGGGGCAGGAGAATGATGGGTGATTCTGCTAGGGTGAGGGTCTTAAAATTAATGAATCTAGAGACCGTCTCAGAATGAAACAGAAGCTGAGAAGCAGGGACACCAGGAGGAAAGTGGCCATGGTGGAGGATGTGCAGAATGAAGGGGGGGAGAAGGAGAAGGAGAAGGAGAGGTAATAATAATAATAATAATAATAATAATAATAATAATAATAATAATAATAATAATAATAATAATAATAATGTTTAATGAATAAAAGAGATAATAATAATGATAATAGCAGTAGTAGTAGTAGCAGTAGCAGTAGCAGCAGCAGCAGCAGCAGCAGTGGTCCTGGGCTATCTCTGGAACCATCTTTCTTCCATGGAGGTTGGCCATATCTCTAGTCCCAGCAGAGAGGTCCAGTCACTCATGTCTCCACAGAGGCACCCATCCCCAGCTTCTGGGACCAGATTTTGCTTTGGGACACCTTTGGCTGTGGAAAGAGGCACTCCAGACCGCCTCCTTTGACTCACCGGCCTGCTTTCATCCTGAAAGGCTAGGTGGTGGCCTCAGTTGCCTCTGCCCCATTCTCACCTCTCCACAGAAACCTCCACAGCTGGAGAATTGATGTGCTCCTGCCCTCCAGGCAGGGGAGCTACTTAGGAGCTTCAGCATGGCCCTGAGCCAGCTGTGGCCCTGCTCTGTGAATCCAGACCTGCTCCCTCTTCCTCAGATTTGTCCTTGGCCAGGAAAGCAGGCCCAGCCAGGCAGGCCTCCTGAGAATCCAGCAATCCCCCCACATACTCAGGTGGTGGAGTGGGAGAGACCCTTCCAACAAGATCCAGTTGGGTAAAGAGGAAGAGAGCCCACCAGGCTCAGCTCTGGACTGCAAGCCGATGCTATCAGCTGGGCCAGCAAGGCCCCGGCACCTGCTGCTCCCCACAAAGCTTCCTTTGTGCAGGTAACCTGATGCCCTGAGAACTGGAGACTTTGGGATCCCCATGCAGAGAAGAACTGGGGAGGCCCACAGAGGAGCCCAGGCATGACAAAGGCCGGGCAGGGGAGGGCCTTTGCTGTCTGCCCCATTGAAATGCAGGGACATCCCCGCTCGGTACACCCTGCTGACAAATATATTCCAGGAAGTAGCCATGACAACCTGGGGGCATCGGAGGGGGGGGGGAGGAAAGAGAAGGCAGCAGCTTTCTTCCCAAAA